CTTCGTTTGGCGGAAGGGCGGGCCTGCTTGTTTTCGATACCCCCTTTCAGCCCCTTAGGGGTGGTTGGCAGGATTTGCCGCAGCCGTTTTGTTTCGTGGGAGTGAACCTTGAGATCTCCTGAAAATTTGAAGTCTCTGGCACATACATCTCCATCTTGTGGAACAGACAGACAGACAGACAGACACACAAACACACAGACACACAGACAGACACGAGGTCGTCTGCATAAGCCCGCTGGATAGCTTTTTAAAAGCAGAAGGGCGGGCTATAAACAAGCTAGGCCCGCTCTTCCGCCAAACCAAGTTTCCAGCTCCGCTTCGCTCCACCGGCAACTCGGTTCGGCAGGGAGCGGGCCTAGCTTAGCCTGCCGGCGGCGTTGGACGGGCGTTGGGCTCGTCCCTTCTGGTTTTTCATGGTGTAATATAGCTTCTATCGGATTCGACCCGTTTGATTGACGGCTCGCTTTGAACCATATTTTTGCCAGGTGCCTTTGCTGCTCTGGAAACCCAAGTGTGTACATGTACGCGTTACTTACTGAATACCTACATGTATGCAGCAAATACAGCATACATGATCATGTATGCAGCAAATAGTGTGTACATGACCATGTATGCAGCAAATACTGCATATATGGCCATGTACACACGTAGAGCTCTATGCTAAAAGCTATGTGCCGAAGTGTGTACCTGGCCATGTATGCAGTATTTGCTGCATACATGGTCATGTACACACTATTTGCCGCATACATGATCATGTATGCAGTATTTGCTGCATACATGGTCATGTACACACTATTTGCCGCATACATGATCATGTATGCAGTATTTGCTGCATACATGTAGGTATTCAGTAAATAACGCATACCATACATGTTCACACTTGGGTTTCCGGAGTGTGTACTCCGTATCAAAACTCAACAAACGCAGCATTCTTTTCATACGCTAGACATTTCTGTGGCAAATGTGTAGACTGTCGTAAGTTTTTTTGACTCAGGTGTGGGAAATGAGGAAAACGTATCACTTAGAGGTATGAAGTTATAAACTCTCTCAATTGGAGGCAAAGACCTTTTAAAATAACACCCAGCTGTAAAAACTGTTAATATTTGACATAAGCAAGCTTCAACAGTGTAGAAACACTTACGTCATTCCAATTCAAATTATGATTTGTGGCTGAGTGTCGCAAGTAAACTTACGACAAATGAAATATACTTATGGATTTGGGGAAGAGTGTCGTAAGTCAACTTGCTACAAATTTACCATAAAATAAGCTACAAGAACTATTTCTCTGCAACAAAGTCATAGGAAAACATTGCCATGATCATAAATGCCTTCTTAGAGTAAAGCTACAAAGTGATTTCTACCTCTGCTCCTCTTTGTTGATAGCAGCATCTTTAGTTCTAAGCTGATGCAAAAATGACTAACTTAACCAAATGCGTTCAGATAGAGGTAAAAACAGCAATTTGGGAAATACTACATGACTTAAGGGTGGCCGTAGGGGGTGGCAGTCAGTCACGCGGTTTGCTGAAGAACATAATCAAATGATGTAACGGGCCTTCGGCCCGCTAAAACCCGTCGTCTTTAACATTTGCCCCGT